ATTCTCCTTTAAATAATTATTTCAGAGTCTTACAGATTAATTGAGAGGTGAGAGGCTGGTGCACTGGAGACGTTCTGGCCGATACAGTATAAATTGTATTGTCTTTTTATCTGACAGCCATCTCTGGCCCTGAGAAAGACTGAAAATTAAAGCACCCTATACTTATCTTGTCCCTCATGCCACAAGATAATGATTCACCTTTGCTTGATGGCTCAGTATTCTCTTTAAAGGATAGAGTGAGAGGTTTGGTCGGGGGAAAAGTCTCCCCCCTGAAATGACAAATCTGCTCTTGGCAGCATTGCTTGACAAGTTCCCCATCTTAGAGCTTCCTGGAAAACCCTGCCAGAATCCAGTCACAAGCTGAACCTTGGTCAGACTATGAGGCTTTGACACACTGCAGCTGTCCCTACTAAGTCCACTCAGCACTGACAACGGATGTGGCTGTAAACAGGGAGCGTGGTAGAACCTCAGCACCAAGATATCTAATGCAGGAACTAGTCAACTCCAAGAGGCCTCTTTCACCACTGTGTTAAGACGTGGGAAAGCATCCAGGCTTGACCAGTTCTCCAAAAACCAACTGATGCCAAGCATGACAGGCATCTTTAAACACCATCTAAAGCCTAGAATACTTTCTGCTACATAGGAATGGCTGCTGTCAAGCTATTGTGAAATGAAGGTCAGTTCAGGCTTTCGGTTCCAAGAAAAAGTAAGAACCAGTGGCGAAATACCAGTTTTCCTGATTTATATCTGAGGTTTGCATCAGACTGCTGGAAACAGAGCAACTGATGGCTGTGCTAGACAGGGGTGAATTTACAGCATAGGCAAGGGTTGAGTGCTGTCTGTGCACTCGGGCTGAATGCCACTGACAGTGAAGCTGCGCCCTTTGCCTTGCTACTGTCAGTCTTATCCCTGTTTAGGAAGATATAAGCATGTCATTTTTTTACATGCTAGAGAATCGTGTGTAACAATCCCTTCTGATTTCGTGTGTTCTGAGAGGAGCTGATGTTCAGGAAGAACCTGTTGGCTGTTTTTTTAAGTGCTGGGATTTGGGCAGGTTATTCTGTGGCTATGAAAAACGAAGTAAGAGAAGGCACAGGCAGTTCTCTTCTGCACAGCCTGTGTGTGAATACAGAAAGGGGAGGGGGGGAGATCTCATTTTATTTTACAATAGCTATTGACTTCTAGGACATGGTTCAGCCTTCCATGGGTAAAATACTGTTTGATTTGTACAGGGCTGAGGCTGCCACTGCGTTTGCCTGAGCACGAACATGAAGTGTTAAGTGCAGTGATTTATGCACACACTCAGAAAATTAAGATCCCCCCCATCCCAAAACAAGAATCTGAACACTGGGCTCCCTTGAAACCTGTGTCCTGCTTACCCTATGGAATGGTCTAACTTGCATCACCAGTCAGCAACCTTTCCAGTTGATTTGGACTTTCAAAGAAGAGTGAGGCTATATAAAGAATAATGAGAGAGTTTCCAGTCCCCTTACATTTTCAGACTCTGTTGACAAAGAGAACAAGCTACGGTTTCATCACTTAAATGACCAGAAAAGCGCAGTATCACTTACTTCGATTTAAACAGCAAAAGGTGCTCAAGGCCGATGAAGACAAGTTGATATGTTAGCAGGTTTTCAGCAAGGGTGCGGTCAGAGCACAAATCAAATTATGACAGCCTTGACTATCAGGAAAGAAAAGTGTTGGCAGACCAATGTAAGAAATAGAATATACGGAGATACTTGCATTTCCTTTCTCATGGCATCCATGCCTGGAACTCTTTTTCTTATGTTTTAAACCACTTTTTACAATTCAGGAGCTTAGAGGCCTTGAAAATACCATCTTTGCCACTCCCCATCTCTACAAGGTTACAGTCAGAACAGCAAGCTGGCAGTAGAAACTTAAGGAATATCTACATGAAGATTAAACTGCAAACCTAAGCTTAAAAACAAATACTGTGCTTAAAACTAGAGCAACATGCCAGCATATTTTACACTGTGATTTGTACTTAGTAAGTTCACAACACCTGAAGGTGTGACAGCCACCTTCCAGTGCTGCTGACATGACAGCTTTGCCCCAGACAGCTTTCAGTGCAGTCACAAAGCGAGAGACAACCACATAATGTAGTACAGGGAATAAATCCGGACGAGGTGTATAGCGAGAAGGATGCATGCGTGTTCTGATGGCCCTATTAAATACATATGAAACAACAGTTTGGATTTCACAAGGACCTTTGGATTCTAAGGAGAAAAAAATGCACTTCTTGTAGGAGGCACAGAGGCAGTTTTAAGTATGATGGGAAGAGAAAACCTGTTTGTACTAATGCTTTCCATTTTTCATGTTAAAAATGTCAGGCTTTCAGAGGGCACAGAAAATACTGTTTGTGTAACTGAAGAAGGACGAGAGGCAAAACAATGCCAGAGCCATCAAAGACATAGGACCATAAGTCTGGAAGAGATTTCCCAGCTCAGCAGCACGACCACAGCAACATGCAATCACTTTCAGACATTTTTCACCTTGCACAAGTGTTTGCTCCTCATGAGTGAACTGCTGCAAGATTTCTTTATGGCACAGGAGAGAGGAGCTGCATATCCAATGGTCAGCAGATCAACAGCATCACCCTCCTATTTGTTCTGACCCTGCCTCCAGCTGGTTTCGTTCAGTGCACCCCACTTCTTGTTTGGGAAGGCACAGCAAACAGTCATCCTCTGGTCACTCGTGGTTTTACAAACTACCATCTCCTTCTTCAGTCATCCCTGGTGTAGACTGAAGACTCCCAGTCTGTACTTTACTTCGGATTATTCTAGCTGTTTTGTCACCAGTTTATCTGCTTCTGGTGTACTCTTTTTCTCAATAAGAATGGTCTTGACTTTAATCACTGTGTCATATTAAACCTGAGTTTACATATTCAGATCCTTCAATCGTTTCCGTTCGCTTGCCCAGAACAGATATTCTGGTTGCTGGGTGCGATTCCCAGACCTCCCTGCCAATCCTTTTTTAGATCTGGTGGCATTTTAGAAATGGCTGTCTTCTGCTTTCCTGCTATTCTGGTGGTTTTGAATAAAAGGTAATACAGAGCAGTCATTCAACTACAGGAAAATAGGGAAGGTGGGCTTTAAAAGAGGCCCTTCCCCAAAATGTCTCCCCTGGACAGGTAATGAGATACCAGTGTTGCCCAGCACCATGTTCACTCCCTCCAGTCATCAGGATGGGGGACCAGGGGTGACTGAGAAATCCCTGGGCCTAGGGAGAGGGCAATGCCAGACCAGAAGATGGAATGGTGGTTGTGCTAGAGAGGAGAGCCAAGGTAGGTGCAGAACAAAGCCAAGCTAGAACAAGATAGGGATAACCGAGGTGTAGCAGAAGTCTTAGCTCTGAGAAGCCATTCTGCTACAGCCAGGATTAGCTGAAGCCCTCCAAAGGAGGGTTTGCTCCAAGAAGTCCAGAAAATGCTTTGGCATGCATGAGTAAGGACTGCTGCCCCTTCCCACACTCGGGGAGTGGAGCTGCTGGTGAGGCTTCAGTTACTCTTCTGTTGCCAAGCAGCCAGACACGAGCAGTGCCAGTGCTCCCATGCTGTGTGAACAGGCTTAGTGAAAAACACAGACAGGTGCTCCTTGAGGGAACTTGGGAGAGTGACATCAGAATCCTCTCTCCAGTTCACACTGAGCTTCTGTGCTGACCTATGTCCTGGTCCCATGCAGAAGGGCATGCTGTGCTACTCAGTGGGTAGGGATTGGTTTTCCAAGCCCTGTACAGGTTTGGCAACCCACTGAGGCTGTTCTGTTCCCCTACTCCCCGCACTGTTTGTTACCACAGTCACAGCTCCGCTGGCAGGGCAGTAGTTGTGTTTCCTCCATCATCCTCCTCCAGCAAAGTCCCACCAGTTTAGTTTGAGAAGGCCGCAGGCAAGCACCTTCTTCCAAGAAGAAAAAAATCTCCGAAGAGATTTTGGCCTTCAGATGTCCACCTCCCATCCTTTCCCTAAGCCACGTTAGCACCCCACAGTCCCACTGCTGGAGTGGTTTGGGATGGCTCTAAATCACATCAAACAAACTCACAGCATCTTCTCAAACTGGACAGCCTAATTCAGACGTGAGTGGACAAAGCATCTTAGAATAAAGTGGTAATGCTGAGGATAAAAATCACCTCATCTTTCACGTACACAAGTCTCTCTTCATGCCTGAAACAAAAAGAGCAGCTCTCAAAGGCAACTACAAGGAAAGACCGAAATGTTCAGAGTTCACTGAATGGACCAAATATGTCTGACCTAACCACTGTGTTTCACCTGAAGTAACATAAGGGGCAGTCTCGTGAAGAAAAAATTCTTGGCATTGCATGGAGCTTTCCTTCAATGGGATGTTGAGCAGTTGCTGGCAGCAGCATTCGGTACGACTGGAACTGGCAAGGTTGCCTAGTCATACCCTCGTTCTCCTTTTTCTACTCTATGCATGTGACCTGCTAAGATAAAGCTATTTAGAAATATAGTGGGTTAAGAATGGAGTGTCCAGGGAAGGAAGGGGAGAAACTAAAGGTTTTAATTAAAGAATACAATATTCTTAGTCAGGATACCAGAAAACTCAGCACTAAGATACAAGCTGTTTTGGTCCATGTACAGCGCGCATGTAAGTCCTCGTGACACATACCTCATTACAGCAGACAGAACTACAGCATGCCTGAATGTGGTCACAGTGCAGACAACAGACAGGAAGCACTTCCATCACCTTTAATACACAGGCAAAGACTACAGAGACCACAATTCCCTGTCTCAGTGTAACTGGGTAAGTTGCCACAGAGATACTGGAGACAAAAAAGCAGCTGCAGGTGTCTCTAGAGCACTGCTGGCCATATTTATCTTGTGGGTTACACTTGGCCAACTCTAATTTAAAAATCAAAGTAGGCAGATTTCTCCCCTACTCTAACACCAAATAACAGATTTACTGAATTAAGGCCTTACTGGCAACCCAGTGGACGTGAAGAGGGTACTTTTTAAAAAAAAAACAAAAAAACAAAAAACAAAAGACAGACAAATATGTAAGACACAGCCCCCCAATTTGCTCAGTACATTGGGCCATACATGCTTGCAACACGAACTCCATAAAGCTGTATTTTATACAGCTGCTTTTTAAAAACCGCTGAACAGGTGATACTCCTTAGCTGGCCTCCAGGATTCAGTTCAGCAGACTTGCAGTTACACAGTCGCACAGATTTCTCTTTTCCACCTGAAGAAGCAGAGTTCCTGTCTATATGAGGAAGGAACAAAAGCAACATCAAAAAACAAGTGTCAGCACTGTAACACTAATCAGCTCGCAAAGAAAAGTCCATCTTACTTTTGTTCTAAGATTTGGAATTGGTTGTATGAGACGAGGCTTGAGGTAAAACTCAGAGCTATTGCTTACTGCTCTACAAAACAGTTTAGCTTTTGCTCAATTGATTGTCACCAACATGGCAATACTTCCTGTGACATGGAGAAAGTCAGTCCGATACACACTCGTGTTTTTCACACCAGTACATTCACTATGGAACTGGGTGCTGTCATTGTTGTTTGAATTTATTTGTCTTTCTTACAGTCTTACTTCACTGCAAAAACTGGAGCATAAACTCTCAACATCATGAGAGGCTTAAAAAAAAAACCCCAAACCTTTCAGAATTTTCTTTTTACTTAAAAACAGCCTCAAAAATTAAATTTAGAGTATTAGAGCCTGCACTCACTACTGAAAGTTATACAGAGAAAGTAAGGCATAGTTTAATCATAGAATAATAGAATAGATCAACATGGAAGGCACCCACAAGGATCATCAAGTCCAATGCCCTGCTCCTCACAGGACTGCCTAAAACTAAACCATAAGCCTAAGAGTGTTGTCCAGGCACTCCTTGAACCCTGACAGGCTTGGTGCCATGGCCACTTCCCGAGGAAGCTGTTCCAGTGACTGCTCGCCCTCTCAGTGAAGAAATTTACTTCCGTTTTAACCTCCCCTGCTTCACTGTTGTTACTGTTAATATGCTGTTGGATCCTAAATTAGACGATAGGTTCTGAGCTGGCATACAGACATTACAGTTCAAACATGTGATGAGGTTCCTGCTTCTTTAAGGAAAAGGGGTCCCAAACTGGTGAAAGCAGAAGTCCCCCAGTTGAACTGGGGGTTCGTTGGTATCAGATCATTGCTGCCCACATGGATTTTCTGGAGCAATGAGGGCGGATTGGGAACTTCTCAGAGATGGAGCTGGGTATGATCAGAAAGGCCTGTACCGCTCTCAGCCTACCTGTGTGAGAAGGGGCTGAGGACCAGTGAAGGGACAGCAAGGCTGCATAAGGGACATTTGGGAATCCTTCCTCTTTAGCACACGATGGACCACAGAGCTGTTTGATATCAACATCATACCTTCCTCTCAGTTTGTCTATCATGAGCTGAAGCTGTATCTGAGAATCAGTCTGACCCAGGAGAGGACATCCTCCTTATTGTCATGGGACACGCTAGCTGTGGGAAGTCCACTCACCCAATTAATCCCCACTGGTGTAACCAGCGACACACAAAAAAGGGCATTATGAAGACCACCAGCTCTAAATGCCAGGGCGATCCATCCTTAATCTGCCTGTCTTGTGATTTTCGTATGAGAGAGAATTGCCATGTGATTAAGGGCTGTGTTTTAAAAGCTGTGTTATCCATGAAACCACGTCAGTGAAAGGCATTTAGAGCACGGCTGGGCTGAAGTGTCCTGCTTACCCCCTGCCTTCTGAGTACAGGAAAAACTATCAATTGGTCAGGTTTTTACACAGCCCTGTGGTTCTGTATTAAATCGGGTATCGCCTTTGACTGTCTCAGCTACCCTGCAAAACTGGAAAGATCTGATCAGACTTTGCTAATCACCTAAAGGACACTCAGTCACCACTTCCTAACCACCCCCTTGACATCATTTGCAACGGTTTGAATAAGGGAGGTTGACAGCATTCCAACAGCTTTGGAGCTAAGCCCCAAGGCTGCTTACCATCTTATATATCTTTAATAACATTTTCAATCCTTCATTTCTACTTTCATGGGCACATCTAACTTAATGTGCTTTGAACATTCCAAATAACCATTGACAGTTTAGAAAGGAATAAAGACCAAAATGAATGGCACTAAATACAGCTTTGCTGACTGTTCTGTGAGCATGATCACAAAACCATTTGCACTGAGGTTTGTTATTATCCCCTGGTGGGTTAAAGCACATTGAGAAAAACCCCAAACCAGAAAACCAACCAGGCAGGGGCCAGATTCTGAACCTACAAAAAAGCTGGTAAGTTCTAGCTAAAAATGCAGTTCCCGGACTCTTTGAATTCGTAATGTCCGCTGGTTAACTCTGAAAATTGGGGCTGGAATTCTGAAAGTAAGTGTCTATAGTGCAGACTTACAGTGAACTGTGTAGCCCATGGACTGGATTTGTTTTACAGGATTTGTTTTATGGCCTTCTCCTTGCTGGCCTCTGTCTTGAGCAGCTTTTAGACGCAGTAGGGAGCTGGCTGTGAACTGGCTGAATGGTTTTGATGGTAGCAGCTCCCTCCCAGCAGAACAAGAACCCTCTCCCCAGTTCATGATCAGAGCTGCACCTGCCACATGCTGCACTGTGCCTGAGTGGTGAATCACCAATATCCCTGGAACAGACTGCCCAGCGCTGGTTGCTGCTCTTGAAACAACTAATCCAGCCCGCAGCCTGCTCCACTGGGCCAGCACCAACGAAAGGGTGGAAAACAGCATGCAGTTGGCAAACAGATCTGCTACATGCATGGGTAATAGTCAGCCTCTCAGAGGTGGTCTGTGACCCTTCTCTTGCTGCATGAGTAAAATGCACCCAGCCTGTCAATCAGTAAGTGACTGTCACATCAGTGTAGGTTACCAGCATGTCTAGTCTTGTGAAAGGAAGGAGATACAGCCTATGGCCCCCCTAAAATGTTGTGTGACCTATGCTAGAGTCAGTCTGCCTTGAGAGACAGCATGCAGATCAACACAGGGCTAAATTAAGTGTGAAAACTCTTGAGCCGTGCAATAAAACTCTATGGTTTCCCCTGTAGAGAACTGCAGGGTGAGATTTGCAGGAGGAGTTAAATGGGAATTTCCTCTCTAAGCTTTTGGGAATCCCTCCCCCTCCAATACAGTTAGGACATGCTTAGTCATCACCTAAAAATCTTGCCTGCAAACAAAAGAGAGTTTTTCAAGGAAATAAGTGTCTCCAGTGGGAATATTAACAAAGGGAATTGTATTTTCGGGGACAGAAACATTTACCCCACTAAGCAGAAAAACAGACTAAAATAGTCAAACATAAAATATATATGTGGCTGAAAACAATTGTCTTAAAACTCCCGGTTTGCATCAAATTGGGCCACAGATGAATAATAAAGCTAAGAATTGAAACACTGTAGAAGGCAGTTTCAAGAAGTCCTCCACTATTAAATATTTCCATTTTTTTTGAAGATGTTGGCAGAATTCCTAGCTTGATGACTGGCATAGGCCGTTTCTAGTCCAGAGGCACTACAGGATCCCAGTATGGATTCAATTATCTAGATTTTAAATTATAAGGCAGCGATAGGTTTGTTTTGATGAGCATTTATCATGGAGCCACATTTTCAGGTTTGTTGTCAAATCTACAACTGTGAAAGTCAATAATAGGACATTCCTCTCAACTGAACCTTTTTTGTATCCTCACTTCCTCTCCTTGGCTGCCTCATATTTTCATTTTTTAAAAAGTACTAAAATACAGTTGCTACCTCTGGGGCTCTTACTGCTACTCCTGCTTTGGCTATCTGTATTTTCTAAAACTTCTCTCTTGGTCTGCAAGCTGTGGGTGCCATAAAGGTCACTGCCACAGCCAGGCAACCAGAGAAGATTTTAGTAATTGAGATACTTTTGAATGAAGATCTAGAAATTTTGGGTAAGAGTTCAAAGATTTGACAAAGAAAGAAAAGGTGTGCTACAACCGCTTCATAGCACTATCTGAACATCTTGTTTGGGCTGCACACAGTGCTCAGCAGATGAAGTATTCATTAACGAGATTTCTTCATGAAGAAGCCCAAAACACATTTGACCTGTAGTTTTTGAACAGATTTTGTTTAACTGTAAACGTGCTACATACCAATATGGTTCTGTTGGAATGTTTGTATTTTGTAGTATGTTCAAGGAATCTTCATTCCTGCACCTGCGTTTTCACCTAAATATCATGGACCCTGCTCAGAGTTACATCAAATCATTCTTCAAAGACGCCAGTTTGCAGGCTCTGAACTGTGAACAGCCTTGACCACAGATTAGAAAGGCAAAAGATTTGGAATGCCTTCTGTTGAAAAATCTGTGCAAGAGTGTAGCTATAGCACAAGGGTACGCGGGAGGTGGGGAGAAAGCTACCCTCTGGAGACACCGCTATCTGACAGCAGCTGGGATACAGCCAGTCACAGACTGCAGGTTGCAGTAGCAAGAGGCAGATTCAACTTCCCTCACAGAAGGAAGATATCAACCTTGGCAAATTCTCCACACTGACTGCAAGCCAAACAAGTTTTGTTCCCTATGCTGTTCTACTTTGGGGCATTTTTCATCATTATGGAATCAGAGCAATGTAAAAAGTATCTATGAAGTGATGTTTCCTGCCTTAGCCTCTCCCCAGGGGTAAAAGCACATGCAGGGGAGTATTTTATTTTAGCAGGCTTTTTGTGTGAGCTGGCTCTCTCCTTTTGGGTAGTAAATATAAATGTTGCTTTCACCTTACTCCTCCTAACATACAAACAAAGGTGTGTGCTCAGCATTTGGAATGAGAGTAGCAGTGCTAGTGGCTCTAAGTTGGGCAAGAGAAGGAGAGAGAGCTGAGGGCTCTCAGTTCACGCTTTCCTAAGCCTCCTAGAGTCCCTAGTACCCCAAGTCAGAAGAATTCCACAAATCACTGCCTAGAGAGATGAAACATAATTGCCCAGCATCACCTTAGAAAGCAGGACAGCACAGTTGACTGACAAGTGTCTTGTGCAAAATCCTTCCACCTTACCTACTTCTATCTATAGCATTTGCTTCTATATTAAAAAACAAAGAGACAAAACGAACAAGAAATGGAATTTTTCCTTACCCGTGTGTCTAGATTATACGCTGTCTTCTTTAAATCCTGCAGAGCCCTCTGCATGAACTCAAACGCATGGCAGTCAACACAGGGACGGCCTAGGAGAACATTCGGTAGAGAATCGTGACTATATGGCATGAAGTATTAAGTAGAAGGAATAAACAGTGATTTTGAGCATGAGGAAGAGCTACAGAGAAGTGTCCACACAGTGAGTACTGATATATGTACTCCCAAACAACCCAGGTTATTGTAAATGATGGTCCACCCAGCCTCTCAATGACAGAAGAATGACTTCAACAAATTTACATTAAAAACTTTCTTCCTTCTTTATTGCTGTTCCCCTCATCCTTCTGTTGTCACAGTTCATAGCGTGGACATGCTAAACCCTTAACTTGAGCCTTTCATTTTGTTCCACCAACCCTCAAGCAGCAGATAAACACAATGCCCTATCATTAGTGAGCACTGCTGATAAGCAGAACTGGACTAATTGCAGTGTTTAAGATAGTATTCCCATATCTAGATATCCAGACTGAAGGTCACAAGGCTCCCTTTACCTTGATCATCATGTACACAAAGCTGTGCCCTAACAGATAGCAGTACTGAGACAGAACAAATATAGACATGATGAAATGCCTTTGAATCATCAGACTCTACATATGCTCTTATTTGCCTCTCAGTGCCTGTGCCTCTCCAACAACTTCATAGGAAATATTGCGTAAGTGAGAAATTCTGGGTCCAGGTTTAGTTTGCTCTCTGGGGTATGGTAAGGAAAAAAGGATGAAACCTAGAGCGATATTGGAAAATCCTACAATGTCTGTCAGCCTATTTTGCAAACACTTGATATCTGACTGATTACTACATGCCTCCCTCCGATAAACTGGAATATAAGCTTCCAGCTCATGATCTGTGTGCTAACCAGCAGCCAGGAATACTGCCTGCTGGAGAAAAGGAGCCTGACAAATTCTTTAACTGGCTAAGGAAAAAAATAAAGAGACGGGAAGTAAACATTGAGCAGTATTAAAGACTTCTTCTCTCATTGCTCTGCCACCGCCCAACCTTAGTGTTATTATATTTGCTCCAGACAAAAAGACAGGACAGCATTTTCCACATGAACAACTTGATGCAAGACCTGTCATTATGTCTATGACAAACTCAACACAGATCAGCAAAGGAGAATTAGGTGGTGGAAGGCTGCGAGACTAAGTGTTGACAAAGTGTGCTTTCTTGGCATCTTCATCGTGAAATTTTTTTAACAAAAGCTACTGACTTGAATACAGTAGACATTACCAAGAACGCAAGATGTAATGAACAGTCAATGTCAGTTGAAAAAAAACAAGTCTCAGTAATGTCTCTGAAAAGCAGACAGGGTGATTCCTAACATATAAAGGGCTAACGCAATGAAAGGGCTGTACAAAAGAAAAAGGTACAGAACAGTGGCAAATTTCAGGTACAAGCAAGACAGCAACAGGCAGGACACAAGGGTAAGACAGTGGAGAGCCTTGGATGCAGGAGAAAAACAGTACTGGTATAAGTTGTGGTTTTAAGACAACATAAGATAGCTATTTCCAAAATGGTTTGATTTGGACAAGGTTCAGTGATTTGAAGTCCTGCAGCATTCAAACTACAGCACAACCTGTAGGAGAGGAGTGTAGGGTGGTACGTACTTTCAGCTGGTATGGCTGTTCCCGCTTCTTGATCTAATCTAACAGGCTCCGCGAGAAGCAGTGCAACCACAAAAACTAAAGGAAGTGTAAGGACCACTCTTCTCAGAAGGCAGGCTGCCAGCATCTTGGGAACGGGTGCTTCTCTGTTTATCACGAGACAGAAACAAGTCAGTGAGAAGTATTACAGATACAAGGGTTTTGTTATAAAGGACTTAATGTTCCTGACAGCTAAAGCATTGGGAGTCTTCCTTTGAAAGACAAAACCAAAATAAATCAGATCTACAGCATGGACAGAAGTTCTCTGTACTTTTCCAGCAATGCACATAAAACCCAACTGGGGAGAATGTCCCTAGATGTGAAGGAGATGATTAGAAGCCCCTAGACATTTTTTGGTTTCGTTTGCAAGCCAGGATGCCAGCTCCAGACTGCAATCTTTTTTTCTAACTACACAGTTCCAGACCAGCACATGAATCTGGACAGCTGGTTCACTCTTAGCCTCTGAGATAGAACTGCAGGGATTATAGAGCTGTCTGGAATAGACCTGAGCAGGGAAATGAGGTTTATACCCACTGACTTGCTTTACTCTTTTCACAAGGATGACAACTAAAGCTAACCATTGTCATTAATTATGCACCACTGACCATAAAAACTTAGTCCTTGATGAAAGCAGCTGAAGGAAAAGACTTTTGTTAAACCTCCACTAATCCACAGGTAGAACTTCTAATGGTAAATGCATCAAAACTCTTTCTGTTTCCCCTCCTGATCTGGGCTTGAGACCTTTATTTGCAACCATCCCTATGTTTCTGAACATCACAACCAGGCCAGCCCATGCCCTGAAGATAGGTATAGTCTGGTCCAGGAACACCTCCTCTTCACACAGAGGTAAACTTTTTAATAACTGTACAGGTTTCAAATGAAGTATTTTCTTGACCCAACAGGTAAAGCTGTTTACATTAAGAGGGAAAATAGGAAACTTGGACTGGCTCAAGTTGCAAGACTGCAACTGTGTATTAGAGATTTCAATCCAAGCCTCAAGGATCCTGGCAAACGGCTAGGGTGGTCCTTAGTTCAGCCAAGTTTACCTGCCCTTCCTGTATATTCAAACAGAAGAAAGAAAGAATCAAATCAGGTTAAGCTGAAACAACACAATAAAATCCACATGAAAATTATCTTTAGCTAAACTCAGGAAAGCAGGACAACATTCTGTCTCTTCCTGATTTTTAAGTCTGTACATACTAAACTAAAGATGTTGCATAAGAACATCAAATCTGCATTTGCTGAATGCAAGAGTACCGCAGTCCCCAAAACAGCTGGTATTTCACATTTGGAAGGGCGATAGAGGGAGGCAGGAAAGGAAAGGTTTCCCCCATCTTGCCACAAACACAGAACGGAACAATTGCTTGCACTTCAATATATGCAATCCACCGTTTCAGACACAGCTAATCTGAAGCTGCAAACTCTGCACAAGCACTTGCAGCACGTGCAAACCAGCAATCCATCCAGGAAAGGAGCAGCATTACACACATCCCCTTCCTGTGCACCTCAACCTAAACGTAAGAGTAGGGGACGGTTCAGAAGCCAGACACACACACGTACACAGAGTCACAGACATATTTGGGCCCACAGAAAAAAACAGATCCAGTAACTTAATTCCTATACCCTCAGATCTGGGCTTCCTATCCCTCCCGCTACTTAGAAGTGATCTGCTGTGATCCTTTTTCTTATTTCTAAAATCCTTAAAATAAAGGGATTAAAATCATAACAGACGGCTTGGGTTTTCTGTTCTAATTAATGATGATCTGCAATCAAAGCAAGTACAATCAAAGACACCAGGCTTTGCAACAGGATGCAGCAGAGTGTCACCAAGTAAATTAGGGTAATACCTGCCTCCTTGGAAAGCACCTAATGCAGAAGACTCCTGGTCAACAGGAGCAGAGGCTATTCTCATAGTTGACTACAAGTGCTGTAAAGGTTCAACAAAACAAGGCAGACATGCTGTTAAAACTTTTCCAGGGTACCTTACACATCACCCACTTCAGTGCCAGCTGAGCTTCGTATGTGAGCCCCACTGCAAAATAATTGCTCCCCAAGTGCAGCAGTCACCTCAGGCCACATGTAACTACTGCCCCTCAGTTATTCTGTGAGGACCTGCGAGGAATAATCACGACAGGCTGCAAGGATGATCTCTCTCTGCAGTGCAACTGGGAACGGAGACAGATCTGTGCGTGGACTAATGTGAAAGAGAAAAGCCACCCCCTCCAACAAAGGAAAAAAATATCAGTACCTGATCTCTCTCTCCTCTTTGTGATGCTCTCTTTGAAATGGCCGCTGCAAACTGCTAACAGAACAAGTGCAGCATTTCTGAGCATGTGCACTGTCTCTTCTTAACCTTCTCTGAAAGAGGTTATTACTATGGGGAGATTTCTGCCATGGCAACAATGCAGAGCACTGCAGCACACAGCACAGATTTAAAGAGGCACAGACTGTGTCTCCCAGGTCTGGGGAAAGATGTTTCTGCTTTGACATTCGAGTTCCGGCAGTGACTCACCTGCTCCGGGTAAAGGTTTTTAAAGCCTGGCCTTTTGATTCATCTCTCTTGAAGCCTACTGAATGGTTTTCCTGAGGTCTGCTCAGCTGGATGTGGTGCCTCATTCAAGCAACCTGCCTTCCTAGTGCCTGAAAATAACCGTGACAAATTGCACCTGCTGTATGGGAAACCAGAAAAAACATGGGATTGCACTCAGGAACTGCAGGACACGTTGGAGGTGAGGCTTGGGTGAAGGGCAGGAATTGTTCAGCCCACAGTCTGCCATTTGATCAGTTACAGGGGTTGTAGCCACCCATGCCTGCTCTCCCAGGAGTTTGTGTGATCCCAGTCTCAGGGCTGCCACGCACAGCTGTAGGACAGCAGTCACTTGAACTCTGAGTAGGGACTGGAGTCCCAGCTTGGAGTAAACTACACCCCCTTTTTCCAGTCTGCGCCTCTGTTCCCTTTTCTGTGCCCCGTGAGCTATACCCCAGAGCAACATTGGCAGTGCCTGTGCAGGGGGCAATACAATAATGGAGTGCTTTTGTCAAAGCAGAGCTAAGTTCAGGGGTCGCATTCCCTCCCCCCAGCCACATTTCCCCTCACAAATTAGACCCTGGCAGCTCTTGTTCCAGAGAGAATGAGTGAGCACTGAGGGCAGGCGCAGTGCTGGGAAGGATGCACAGAACTTGAAAGGGACCATGCTCTTGGTCTGCTTTCAGCCGGTTCAACGGGGACTCAACCCAAAACGCTTTCGTGGTGGCAGCTGGGGGCACTCGGTGTGCAGGAAATAAGGGGAAGACAATTTTTAGAGACTGTTCTTTTGGGCAAACAAGATTTAGCATTTCTTGCAGAGATTTGATCTGGTTAAGTATCTGCCTGTACACAAATTACAAATGCAGAACTTTATTCATGATCATTCTCAGCCATCTCCCACCGTGGCCTCTCTTCCTGGTAAACAGCATAGATATTCACATACATACACGCACATCTCCCCCTGTTCTCCCAAACCCTGTCTTTCCGCTATCACAACAGTAACACCAAGCAGCCAACCCCAGCAGCTTGGGGTGTTACCACAGATTCATTCTTCCAGACCCATGCAATGGGCTTCTGACTCCATTAAATACAGTTTTCAAAATCTGTTTCTGCCATTCTCAGCTGCCAAATTCCTTTCTCTAAACATCTCACACCAGCTACTGTGACATCCCTTCTTTAGCCTTGTCCTAAACCCACTTGTCCTGCAAGAAACAACTCCCTTTCCAGCGTTTTAACCACATTTCCTCTTTATTCAATTCTCCCCACTCTGTATTGTGTCAAGCACCAGCTTTTCACTGAAGCTAATATTTTCTCAACTGGTAAATACCAGTTCACCAAGGAGATTTTCCACAGAGGAGGTGGAGACCCAATTTTGGGATAGTTTTATTTGAAAAATGTTTTGAAAAAAATTATGTTGACAATTTTCAAATTGATAATTTCTGAATTTCAGCTTCAAAATTATTTTCTTTTTAAACCTAAATACTTCATAATCAGTTCATGGAATTGCAGAGTGGGAGCAGCTCTTATCTTAAGGCTTTTGGGGTGTATCCCCACCAGAACGCTGCAACTCAAATAAACTCTTTCCTACTCTTATTTCCCTCGTGTATGAAGAGTGGGTGGTGCAGATGCTAGCCCTAAGGTACTCTGAAACTGGGAGTACAGAGCAGAACTGGGACTATGCAGCACGTGCATGACAGCCCTGGGTGGCAATTTCACTGGTGTGCCCAAAGTCACAGTGGGGGTCATGCAGCACCTCGGGCTGAGTGTGAGAAGTGGCATTTAAGTGAAAGCTGCAATATCCTGAGTCCCCAGCTGCCAGGTGGGATCATCCCTGAGGTAAGCACAGAGAATTTATAGTTTCTGTTCATGAAGAACTCGAACAAAATGGATTTTTTTTTTTTGAGATTCCCATCAGCTAAAAAGCATCAAAGCACTGTTTCTGAGATTTCAATTTTTCATCTTGATAGCACATGTTTTGATACTATAAATATTTCCGTGGGATTGGGAGAAAAGCTCAAGCCTTTACCTCTAAGCCTCTTCACTGCTTGGTGTCTCCTTCGCTCTTAATTCTAATACTCTGTCACAGCAGAAAACTTTCTTCCCTCACTAAAGAGAACAGATTCTGTCATTTCTCCTGCAGACACTTTCACGCTTTCTCACAGCCTGCCCTCTACATCATTGTAAAAATCTCCCCACGAGGTACCATCTTGTCTTCCATCAAATCCTCTTTTAAGCTTTACCTCTGCCACGAATCCTACAAAGCACTGCTGCCTGGCAGAGCCTGGGAGGAAGCTGGCTGTGACTGCTGATGGTATGCAAATGTGCTCGTTATACCAATATCTCGCTGCCTCACACCTCTCACTGATTCCCCCCTTGTCATCCTGTCCTAATCCCGGGCCGCAACCGCTTGAGGGCAGGGGCTGTGTTGGCACTTGTTGGCGCAGCACCGCAAGGCTGGAGTGTGATGAATAATCATGTCAAATTACCTAAAGCTGATGGCATTGTCCCACACTCTGATATATGAGCTATTCATAGAGCAAGCCTCTTATTCTTTGCCTTCCAATTTAAAGCTCTTG